AATATATATATATATATATATATATGGGTGTGGGTAAGAATGCGGAAGTGAGTGAGAGTACAGGGATACGACATGAACAGTGATAAATTTATGCAAGACTATTAGTATAAGTAGGAAATACAGGGAGGTTAACAAACATATTACACAGCTCCAAAGTGATTATGCTTGTCTTGCAGGAACATTTGCTGAAGAGCCATGCGCAAGGCAAGACTTTTGAGAGACGGATTCTCGATGTCCGCCTTGAGGAGAAGGAGGTAAATACACAGTATGTAATGTTGATAATTACAGTAACTGGATGACGTGACCTAAGAGAGTCTTCTTAAAGCCCTGGCTTTGTTGGGTGGTGGTGCTCGTTCTTTCATTGGCTGAGCCTACGCCTCCGCGTCTAGCGCAGCTGCTGATGGTCCTCAGCGTTGTTCGACCTGTTATGATCGGCGTTAGGTTTGGTGTCACTCGTCAATGCGGGCCTATTGTGTTATGTGCATTATTGACCCACAAAAGACACAATACAATAATCCCTACAAGCTTATATTGTGTGGAAGTGCTGGTTGTGTGGGTTGCATTGCAGTCATTGATGTATTATTCTCCTTCTAAGGCGTGTCAAGTTTTTTTTCGCGTGACGGCTGCCTCTCCACAGCTGATTGGGAGCATCCGCAGCTTCATTGAGAGCGGTATTCGGCTCCGAGTACCTGAGGGCTTCGGATCAGCCAGTGGCCAGCAGCTGACGCTGCCTAACACCGCCTTCGAGGCGAACATTCCCTTCGTCCTGCGTTTCATGGTTGACGCCCAAGTCACGGGGTGTTGCTGGCTGAAGGGTCTGCAGCGCAGCACAACCAAAAGCAGCTCCCCAGTATAAACAACTAAATTCAATCGCACCAATACTGTAGCCATACATAAGTGAAGCACATGCACAATTAAGAGCAGGGCAAATGCACAATTGAACGGTAGCACAATGAGTGCAGTGCCAGACGCATTCCAGACAACAGACACCTGTCAAAGGACACACACACACACACACACACACACACACACACACACACACACAGCAGCAGCAGCAGCAGCAGCAGCAGCAGCAGAGGAAGCAGCAGCAGAGGCAGCAGCAGCAGCAGCAGCAGCAGCAGACACAACTAAATCGATCAAACACACACCGCACAGAAATGGGTATGAGCATTTGTAGATGGATGCGGTTTAGGGTCTTGTTTTGTGCTCCCGTATTTATTTGAACTTTTGGTCATTTCTAAAGAGCTCCCTCGAGTCCCTTGCATGTTTGCTGCAGCAAAGAAAGGCCACTACGTGGTGCGCCCCTCGTCCCTCAGGGAATCGCGTTGCCAAGAGGAGGTGGACGTACACTACGCAGATATCGAGGCCTTGCCACTGCAGGGAGAGTTTCAGTCCCTCCCACCGCTGCGGATGTTGTCGTTCGGTCAGCGGACATATATCTCGAATCCAGTGAAAGCCAAACAGTCAACGCACCTACCAAGCTCCTGGGATGATGCTTTGCCTCGTTATTTGCTGGATTTTCTCCGCATTTTGTCTGACTCCTACTTTTCTTCCATTTATGTCTGTTTCTGTTCTTGTTTCTGCCTCGCTGCCTTATGCACGACGTGCGTCTCAGCTTGCCTTTTCTCCGCCGTTGTTTGCATTTTGCTCCTGCTCGCCTTTAGATTGGCCTTTGCTTCTCTTTGTTTCGTTGTTTAGGCCGTTCCCTTCATGTCTGCAGTAGGCGCTTTGAACGTGGTTGTGTTTGGCTTCTACAGATATCGAGTGCGTAAAGGCGAACGGCCAAGGCTTTCCCGAAGCGCAGGAGGACCCTGTGATTCAAATATCGTCAATTGTGGAGGAACAGCGGCGCGAGAAGACTCAAAACGACAAAGCACAACCACCAGGAACAAGCTCCAACGATGCAACAGACCAGCCGTTGTGCCGCGTTATATTTGCACTGAACGAATGCGCACCGATTGCTGGGGCCTGGGTGTTTTGGTTTGAAGACGAGGCGGAGATGCTGATCAAGTGGGCAGAGTTCGTCAGAGAGGTAAGACAGAAAGAAAGATGTATGCCGTGCCTTGGATTGTGCATTTGTGTTACAATGTTTCGTCACATTTGTAGCTGTCAGGCTGTCTGTTGCTCGAGCGCTTGACTATCTGACTGCATATTTGCCTTGTTTGATTTTCCAGGTTTGATTTTTGTTTGGTTTGCTTGCCCGCCCGTCTGTTCCTCTATGAATTTGTTATTCTCTTGATGCTCCCTTCCGTTGTTTGACATTTTACTTTTCATTTCCTTCTTTATTTATCTTGTTTCCCCCTTTTTTGAATGGCTAGTCGTGATATGCGCGGTGCTTCGCCTTGTCTTTGTTTTCTTGCCTACTTGTGTCTGTTTTGCGTTTATAGGTTTGCCGTTTAATTTTACGTGTGTGTATCTCTGTACCCAATGCGGAAATAGTGTTGCACTTCAGTGCCATGTGGTGTGCATGCAGGTGGATCCTGACTTTCTTACGGGTTACAACTGCATCAACTTCGATTTATGCTATCTCCTCACGAGAGCCACGGCTCTCAAGGCGGAGGGCGTCAACTGCCTCTCGCGCCTCAAGGCCTTCGAATCTCGCATTTCCGACACGCGATTCAGTTCGAGGTACACTGTAAACCCTATACCCTAAACCGTTTGTCCAGCAGAAAGCACTGATTGTCCCCCGGGCAAGGTAGGCGAACGCCTTGCTTGGTTCCGGGCTCGCCGGGTCTGTCGGGCCTAGCTAGGGTTTAGGGTACTGGGTTTAGGATTGAATTTCTGCGTAGAGCCTTGGGCACGCACGATAACAAGGAGATACCCGTTGAAGGTCGCGTGCAGTTTGATGTGTTGGAACTTGTGCGCCGGGATTATAAGCTAAAGAGCTATTCCCTCAACTTCGTCTCTTCGGAATTCCTTAAGGAGCAAAAGGTCGGCAGGAATGCCCTTTGTCTGTCTTTCGTGTGCTTCCGTGTTCGTTTTGACTCGGTGACCCCGTCTTCGGGTTGTTTCCTGTGTTATCGATTCGCAGTTCACGTCCTTTGTTCAACTATTTCTTCACTGCTGTGCTATATTTATTGTTTGTTCTTGGGCCTTTGCTAGTTTGTAGTTCAGCCTCGTTCGGTGCGTCACTTTCTGTTTGTGTCTGTAAAGCGGTCAGTAATTGTTATCGCCGCATGCGCAGCCCAGCAGTTTTGAGCTTATTCAACAGACGTATAAGAGTGTTATGTTGCATCAGGAAGACGTACACTACAGCATGATAGGGGACCTCTTCAGGGGGTCGCCTACCACTCGGCGTCGTATAGCGGTCTACTGCCTAAAGGATGCCTTGTTACCTCTCCGGCTGCTGAGCAAACTGCTTTTTCTGTTCAACTATGTTGAAATGAGCCGCGTCACCGGCACCCCGCTGACGTACTTGCTGACAAGGTGTGTCTACACTCCAACTCAACCCAACTCAGCTGTCCTACGCGCGCCACTAACTCCGCGAACAGACTTCCAGCCTACCATGATGATAAACAATGTGTGCTGCTGCTTCCAGAGGGCAACAAATTAAAGTCACGTCTCAACTCCTACGCAAATGCAGACAGCTGCACTACCTCGTGCCATCCGTCAAGGTAAGCGCTTTGCTCCAATTCCAGACAGCACCCACAGAAGTTCAGTGGAATTGTCTGAATCCATGAGGTAGTTGTCGAGAAGACAGTGTAACACTGTCTGGTCGACAACTAACGAGTTTATTTGAGGGAATAGTAAGGCGAAATTTGCCAATCAGGGGTCAGGGCTTAAATTATGGGAGTAACCGTAGAGTGGCTTACGGTAGCCCCAGAGTCGCATTTCTCAAAGAGCACCCTTTGAGGCCTGTATACCAGCAACAGAAACGTAGTTGCTTCTGTTCTGGCGTGGCGTTGGAGACGTTGGAATGGTCTGTCGCTTTTGCGTCATGTCCGCTCGTTTTGTCTTCATTGCTTCGCGCGTGTTGTACTGGTGTCTTCCTTTTGGATGCATTTGTTTCTTTCTTCGTTGCTGCCCTGTTTGTCCGAAATTGTTGATCGCGTTCACTCCACAAGCCATATCTGTGTCTCTGTATTAATTAATAATTAACTGTTTGCTTGGTTATTGGTCTTATTTTTTAGTTGTGATGCCACCGTCCGTCTCGCTGTGTGTCCGCCTGCAGCGCGTAGGGGGCGACCGCGACGATAAATATGAGGGAGCAACGGTGTTGGAGCCTTTGAAGGGCTTTTACAACATGCCGATTTCTACTTTAGATTTTGCCTCTCTGTACCCGTCCATTATGATGGCACATAACATCTGCTACAGCACTCTCGTCAAAGGCGCAGACGTACAGGCACTGCAACCCGAAATAGTGAGCTGCGGCACTTGCGTTCTCTCCACTAGTACAACGCGAGCACACGCAAAACCAACTTGAAACAGAACATTCAGTCGTGTAGGGCTCAGGGAGGGGGGGGGGGGGGGGGG